TTCTATATGGACCTCGCAAAATTCTTCAGACAAGATCATACATTCTTCAAGGTCATTGTCGGAGATTTTAATGCAGAAAATGGACCTAGAAGAACGTCTGAAGAACGTCACATAGAGGACCCATGGACCAGAATGGAATGAACAGGGTGAGAGGCTATCTGAGTTCATCACGACGACCCAAACCATCCATGGTATCACGCAGTTCGAAAAGCCTTTTTCTAAGTGATGGACGTGGTAGTCTTCCAATGGAGAGTACCATAACGAAATAGATCACATTTTAGTAAATCGAAGGTTTTGCCTGACCGTGTCGCTGTTGTTCCTAAATTCTACACGGGATCAGACCATCGCCTTCTTCGCGCAACGTTCCGTTTTTCGAGAAGAGGAGAGAAAGCCGCTAAATTTAAACAACGAAGTCCCAGAACTATCACAAATTGGGATGTATTCAAATCATTAGTCGGCTCTTGGAAGATACCGTTGTCGACAACATCGACGAAAAATACGATCTGCTCGTTGAATATCTTCACGTTACCGCTATGAAAGCCGAGAGTCCTAAGGTCACGAAGAGACGCTTGTCTCCGCAGAAACTCGAGCTGATTCGCCAACGTGGAATTGCACGAGCTACAGGCAACCAAAACCTTACGTCCGAACCTGCGAAACGCTGCAGAGAAGCGGAGACCTTAAAGACAGACGAGCTGCAGTTATGGCAGAGGCTGCAGAAGCTGAGAAGAGCATTTGTAAAGCTCAGCGAGGCTTTGCAGATTATAAGACCAAGATGAATGCACTTCGATGCCCTGACGGGACAGATACAGTTTCCGGAAGGGCTATAGAGAAAAGCATCCACCAAAACTACTCGGATGTCATCGCTAGCCATGTTCTCTTACCGTCATATAAACTGAAAGAGGATGAATATGTCGTTCCATCTGTCCTTCTACCGAAATCCGACATGCTATAACGTCGGTGAGGATCAGAAAAACACACGGTTCAGACAGGATCAGATCAGAACACCTGAAGAACCTGCCGCCAGTTCTCATCAACACCCTGGCTCGGCTCTTCACTCGCTACCTGTCAGAATGCAAGGTTTCTATTCAATGGAAAACCAGCAAGACCGTATTGTTGTTCAAAAAGAGAGACCTTCACGACATAGGCAATTATCGCCCAATCTGCTTGCTGTCCGTTGTCTATAAACTCTTTACTCGAGTCATCCTGAACAGGATTGACAGAACACTGGATGAAGGACAGCCATGCGAACAAGCAGGGTTCAGAAAAGGATTTAGTACCATAAACCACATCCACACGATCACAAGACTCACTGAAGTTTCGCGAGAGTACAAACAACCACTCTGTCTCACTTTTATCGATCTGAAAAAAGACTTTGATTCAGTGGAAACAGAAGCGGTTATAGAGGCTCTGGATAACCAGGGCGTCCCTACTCGGTACATAATGATCCTTCGTGAGCTTTATAAAGATTTCACGACCAGAATATCTCCATTCTACAACAATATCACCATTGACGTAAGAAGAAGGGTTCGACAAGGCGATACAATTTCGCCAAAACTATTCACTGCCACCCTACAAAACGTCATGCGAACATTAGAATGGGACGAAATGGGAGTGAAAATTGACGGTCGACAATTAAACCATCTTCGCTTTGCTGACGATATCGTTCTCATAACACCAAACATCAGCCAAGCGGAACGAATGTTGACTGATTTCGATAACGCCTGTGGAAAGATCGGTCTTCAAGTGAATCTAACGAAAACAATGTTCATGAGGAACGGATGAGTTTCTAATGCCCCATTCACGCTCAACGGAACGACAATTTCCGAATGCTCCAGTTACATCTATCTAGGTCGTGAAATCAACATGATGAACGACCTAGCTCCAGAGTTGAGTAGGAGGAAACGAGCGGCTTGGGGAACGTTTAAGAGCATCGAAGATGTAGTGAAGAGGACAAAGAACATCCGACTCCGTGCCCACCTTTTCGAGTCGACAATTATCCCTGCCCTAACGTATGCAGCAGAAACCTAGTCGCCACGTAAGCAGGATGAAAGATCACTTGCCGTTATCGAACGCGCAGTCGAAAGGTCGATGCTAGGAGTATCCCGCATCTCGCAAATGAGAGAAAGGATCCGAAGTTCCGACCTACGTCAACGATCGAAAATCAGAGACGCCGTTCTCCACGTCAGGATATCGAAAATAAGGTGGGCCGGACAAGTGATGCGCTTCAACGACAACCGATGGACAAGAGCCGTTACCGACTGGATTCCTCGGGACGTCAAGCGCTCTAAAGGAAGACCACTGACCCGTTGGTCCGATTTCTTCACGAAAGCGATGGAAGAAAGATATGATGCTCAGCGAATTCCTAGAGCGAGGAGGACCCACTGGGCTACTCTTGCACGCGATAGGGAAAAATGGAAGAGTTGCTGGTACCCGCTCGAGTCACTCGACGATCAACGGGACGACAGGTGATACAGGTGATACAGGTTCGCAGTTCACACCGTATTGATTTCTCTTCTTCAATTTCGTCACACGTTTCGATTTCATAACGCAAGGCATTGTGTTCTGGATTCACATTGGGCGTGGGGGTATAGCTCAGGGGTAGAGCGCTCGCTTCGCATGCGAGAAGTCTGGGGTTCGATTCCCCATACCTCCAAACATTTTGTCATCCTTGTTCGCAGTTCACACCGTATTGATTTCTCTTCTTCAATATTATCACAAGTTTCGATTTCATAACGCAAGGCATTGTGTCCTGGATTCCCACTCGGCGTGGGGGTATAGCTCAGGGGTAGAGCGCTCGCTTCGCATGCGAGAAGTCTGGGGTTCGATTCCCCATACCTCCAAACATTTTGTCATCCTTGTTCGCAGTTCACACCGTATTGATTTCTCTTCTTCAATATTATCACACGTTTCGATTTCATAACGCAAAGGCATTGTGTCCTGGATTCCCACTGTGCGTGGGGGTATAGCTCAGGGATAGAGCGCTCGCTTTGCATGCGAGAAGTCTGGGGTTCGATTCCCCATACCTCCAACATTTTGTCATCTTGTTCGCAGTTCACACCGTATTGATTTCTCTTCTTCAATTTCGTCACACGTTTCGAGTTCATAACGCAAGACATTGTGTCCTGGATTCCCACTGGGCGTGGGGGTATAGCTCAGGGGTAGAGCGCTCGCTTTGCAAGCGAGAAGTCTGGGGTTCGATTCCCCATACCTCCAAACATTTTGTCATCCTTGTTCGCAGTTCACACCGTATTGACTTCTATTCTTCAATCGCATCACACGTTTCGATTCCATAACGCAAGGCATTGTGTCCTGGATTCCCACTGGCCGTGGGGGTATAGCTCAGGGGTTAGAGCGCTCGCTTCGCATGCGAGAAGTCTGGGGTTCGATTCCCCATACCTCCAAACATTTTGTCATCCTTGTTCGCAGTTCACACCGTATTGATTTCTCTTCTTCAATCTCATCACACGTTTCGATTCCATAACGCAAGGCATTGTGTCCTGGATTCCCACTGGGCGTGGGGGTATAGCTCAAGAGTAGAGCGATCGCTTTGCATGCGAGAAGTCTGGGGTTCGATTCCCCATACGTCCAAATATTTTGTCATTCTTGTTTGTAGTTCACACAATATTGATTTCCTTTTCAATTCCATCACACGTTTCGAGTTCATAACGCAAGACATTGTGTCTTGGATACCCACTGGGCGTGGGGGTATAGCTCAGGGGTAGAGCGCTCGTTTTGCATGCGAGATGTCTGGGGTTCGATTCCCCATACCTCCAAACATTTTGTCAACTTGTTCGGAGTTCACACCGTATTGATTTCTCTTCTTCAATCTCATCGCACGTTTCGGTTTCATAACGCAAGGCATTGTGTCTTGGATACCCACTGGGCGTGGGGGTATAGCTCAGGGGTAGAGCGCTCGCTTTGCAAGCGAGAAGTCTGGGGTTCGATTCCCCATACCTCCAAACATTTTGTCATCCTTGTTCGCAGTTCACACCGTATTGACTTCTATTCTTCAATCGCATCACACGTTTCGATTCCATAACGCAAGGCATTGTGTCCTGGATTCCCACTGGCCGTGGGGGTATAGCTCAGGGGTAGAGCGCTCGCTTCGCATGCGAGAAGTCTGGGGTTCGATTCCCCATACCTCCAAACATTTTGTCATCCTTGTTCGCAGTTCACACCGTATTGATTTCTCTTCTTCAATCTCATCACACGTTTCGATTTCATAACGCAAGGCATTGTGTCTTGGATACCCACTGGGCGTGGGGGTATAGCTCAGGGGTAGAGCGCTCGCTTTGCATGCGAGAAGTCTGGGGTTCGATTCCCCATACCTCCAAACATTTTGTCATCCTTGTTCGCAGTTCTCCGATCCAAGTACTAACCAGGCCCAACGTTGCTTAACTTGCCAGATCGGACGGGATGGCGTGCTTTCAACTTGGTATGGCCGTAAGTTCCCACGGACCTCCCTCTTGGAGGGATCCCGCCCGGTTAGTCGCGAGGGCACGTGGCGCGTCCCCAGGTGGTGGATAGGGGAATAAAACGCGAACCAAAAGCGACCGTGTGCTTCCCAGAGATGCAGGTGGATTCAGGGGCGAGCTCCCTGCTTCTGCAATGCCGACTTGACAAAACTCTATTTCTACGAGTCAAGTCGGCCAAAAGCCTGCAATCAAGCGGCTGGGAAGTACATGGGAGGCGGTTAGGAGTCGCCTCCAACAAATAAGCTCCTCCCGCTCCTCCGAGAGAGACTGGCAAGCTACTCGTGAGTACCCAGCCCCCACGTTTAGAGCCTGGCAAGCTACACGTTGGGTATCAAAAATGCCAAAAACAGTAACAAATATGGGCCTCATTCCCCTGACCTCGAAAGAGCCCCTGGTACGGCAGCGCCAGGTAGGACGAGTACGGAGAGGCTGCTAAAATCTCAGGGCCGAACTAGGCTGCCAAGATCGAAACGGACTAAAATGACGATCTGTACCTACAATGCAAGAACCCTTGCTCAACAATCCGCTGTAGAAGATCTGTTGATTCAAGTAGGAAGAATAAGGTACGACGTCATTGGCCTGGCTAAGACGAGAAGGCGCCATCCTTTTCACGCTGTCTATGACACCGGAGAAGAACTGTTCCTTGGAACATGCGATCGCAGAGGTGTCGGTGGCGTTGGCGTCCTCGTCAAATCGAATTTGACCGTGAACATTGATTCGTTCGAACAACTAACAACCCGCATCGGACGATTACGGTTGAAACGATGTGGTTCTATGCCGGCTTTGAACATCTTCGTTGCTTACGCACCAACATCAAGCTATGACGAAGACGAAGTCGAAGCG